GGCCCGGCCGGAGCGTTTGGCCGTTTCCCCTCACCCCGCCACGGGAGCGGGGACCGAGCCCACCCGTGTGCTCCGGTGGGCGCCCGTGGGCCTTCACCACAGTGCCGCGGGGACGCGCCGCAGGGCCCCAACTCGCTTCGCTCGGTCGGTGAGAAGGCGAAGAGGCAGCTGGCAGAGCCTCGGCTACGTTGCTGGCACCGGTGTCACGACTTCGGCTGTTCGAAGCGGTTTTGTACCGCAGGCTCTGCTGTTTTGGTTACCATCTTAACATGTGATGGACGCGAGTTACTAAAACCACATTTTGCCCAAGGTTTGACAATGCCCACTCACAATCTCGGAAGAAGTTTTGCTCCGCGCACCTCCCTGGCCCTCCCCAGAGATGCGCCTTCCTCCCCGCGCAACCGCTGACACGCTGCGGTGACAGCAGAACAGCCCCTCGCCGCGCACACGCGTCACGCCGCTGCCTAAACATTTCTTCCCCGAGCGGGCACGATACGCTGCGCCACCGTCGCTTCAGCTTCGGCTTCTGACAGATCAAACACCGGCGCTTTGCCGGCATTGGAGGGATAAGGCGTACAAAATAAGTGGAGCAGAGCGGTACGTTGCTCGAAGAGGAGGAAGAGAATAGCAGTCATTAAGACCGGAGGGTTCATCAGCGTCTGTTGTACCTGGAATAAAAGCTAAGTTTTGAACTGCAGGAGAAAGAATAATTAACAAAATGTCATCGCTCTAAGTTCAAATGTTATTTCTTTTCCTATCCAGAAGCTTCCATGTTCATCTCAATGATATTAAACGCATTAGCTCCCACGGACTCACTCCCATGGACTCGCTCCCCATTAAAGTTCCAGTTTTGGAGGAGAAACGAAGAAAAGAGCAAGACCCTGACTGAAGTGAAGCCGCTTTATAAACTTGACACGTACTAATGCCAACACGGCAGCGCCTTCCCGCAGCGAGAGGTCCGGTGGCGTCAGTGAGGTTACACCGAGCGTACGAACCGCAGCGCATCTGGGGAGACCTGCTGCTCTGAGGGAGACCGCCGTACCCACAGAACGTAAGCCAGGTCGCGCCGATGGGGGTGTTGTTGCGCACCGCCTGTTTATCACTGCTGTTCCTTAAAGGTGTGCCACTATTTCCATTTAAAACAGCATCTTTACATGTTTACATTAACATTCACCTCTGCCATGCCAGATAGAGTTAAAAGATGGATAAAGCCAGCTGAAAGGTTCAGAATATTCAATCCAGTTCGTGGGCACACTCTATGAACA